TTTCTTAACAGATACCAAACATATCCTGTCGGCCATCTGTTGAAGTACTTGACTTCACAGATGTGAAAGATGCTTCTACTTGGCTGATTGAACATGGTAAGAACAATCTTCTATCAACCGCGCTCGCCCGTCCGATTGATTCGTAGTGTCTATTGTTCAGGACTGACACTTAAAACCTGGTCTGATGGTGAAGCGCACATTCAGTGCAAGCCTAGTCATGCAGCTATTTGCAATCATCCTGTGAGAAAGCGCTCGCCCCTTTTATCGATTTGATGAATAATTCTCTCAGGCATTGGTTTCTCGAAAACACACGATGATGGGATAGCGATTGTCTCCTATTGTTGTATCATTAGCGGTCTCCTACGTGCATTATATGATGTTATTATTAAATACTCAATGGGGGCAGGCAGGGAGCGAACCAGGGATCTCTCGATTCTCAGTCTCTGGTATACTCAATGTCCCTCCATCGAAGTGCAGCAGTGATGAGGGTTAGTCGGCCACTACTCGACCGAATGGAGCGCATCATGCATTACAAGAGCGACTACTATCCTAATCTCCCACAGTCGGAACATAAAGTTTGGCAAAACCCAGTAAATCGATCACGCGATCGATTGTCTGAATTATTGTACCTCTCAGGGAAGTCGTCCACCTTATCACCTGAAGCATCCCAAGCAGTACTTCGATTTCAAAACATTCCGGAATATGTTAAAGCATAAGAAACAAACCCTGGGTCGAGCCGAGAAAAGAATAATCAAACGAGTTTATGCGAAGCCACCACCCAGCGATGACTGGGACGTTCTAAGGTGTGGAATAATGCTTGGTTGGAATCATATCAGTTCGGGGCACGCTCTTTGAAGGGATGTATAACATGGAATCATTGATGATATTTGACGCAAATGATCCGATGGGAATTTCCGAGCAGTATGATATGTGCTCTTACCGCTGCAGATTCCTACAAGAGATGGAATTTGGTGAGAATGCCGAGGAGGTTGCCTCATGTTTCGAAGATTGGTCGGACTTCATATCTTCCGATTATGAGGATGTCCAACGTGTGGTGAGTTCTCATAATATTCTGTTCTATCAGTCTGTTCCCTCTCGTAGGAGATGGCCCCGGAGCAGCGCAGGAAACTACTCGTGTATCTACGCAAATTCAACCATGGTGTTTGGCCACTTGAAGAATATCAGGAGCGGTTCAAGGTTGGCAAACGAGAGCGTCCTCCGATCCACGTGTTTTCGACCTATTAGGGAACTCCGTTGGAAAATGAAGGGAAGCCCTGGACGGAAGAAGACGATAAGAAGCTCGTCGAGTTGGCGGAGGTTTATGATATCAATTTCGGTGACCCCTGGATATATCTCAGGTTAGCTCTCCAAAGAGTTGGGTTCTCTATGACTCTCTCATCTGAATGATCAGTTGGGAGCTCCAACGGCCGAGAGAGGACGTTATAAACCGGTATATGACGAAGGTTAAGTTCCCTCAACAACGTCTTTCGAAATGCGAACTTGCCATCACCAAATCAGCTCGTCCTTTGATGATGAGCCGAAGATTCCCGGTTCGGAGTCTTTACGTTCAGACTTGTTATAGTACGTGTGTTATTTTGTTAGTTACTGGCACCGACATGTTACGTTATTCCAACGGGAAAGAATTTCCGACTTGTTGACTCGTCAAGTGGATATCAACTGCCTGCCAACTT